CCGCCGCCGCCGCAGCCCAGGTCACGTTAGTGCCCACGCGCGCGTCTTGTCAGCGGATTCGTCGCCGGCCTGCTCAGACTAGGTTATGCCCACTCTGACCTCTAAATGGTACGTGGGAGGACGTCCGTCCCCTTCGAACCCAAGAGTCACCGTAACACTCTAGAAGGGGAGAAAAGGAGCGAGGGCGGCAGGCGACAGAGAACCTCGCGAGTCAGCGGTTTCGCGCAGACCCCCCCAGGCACAGTCCCCTGCGGCCACGTCGGCTGCTCCGCGCCTGCGCAATCTCTTTCTCCCCCGCGAAACCGAGGCCTCCGGAGGTAGACGAGAGTGTGGGCAGTGAGCGCTTGTAGCCGCTAGAGGGAGCGCTGAGCACAGTGCGCGAGAGACAACAAAGGCTGAGTGTCCCCTCAATGCCTCTGCAGCCTCAGCTTTGTGACTTCTGTATCCAGAGCACAGTTAGTTTCCAAAAGCCCGCCTGCACCACGTATTTTTAGTCTGGGTGTGTGTGTAAAGTCTATATCACTATCATAAAACTGTTAGTTCCTGACTCCAGGATACAAAGAGTAAAATAAAAATGAACATACTTTACCTTTCTTGACAAGTGTTTTTAAGTTAGTAAAATATTGTAGATGACAGACTTGTACTCTTCAATAGGCCTGCCTTAGGAAAAAAACAGAAAAAAGAAAAAGCAGTATGTACTTGCCCTGAGCATTTAGGACCAGTTTTGTTGTTGTTGTGTTTTTGTTTTGTTTTGAGACAGTCTTACTCTGTTGCCCAGGCTGGAGTGCAGTGGCATGATCTCGGCTCACTGCAACCTCCGCTTCCCAAGTTCAAGTGATTCTCATGCCTCAGCCTCCAGAGAAACTGGAATTACAGCTGTGCACCACCACTCCTGTCTAATTTTTGTATTTTTAGTAGAGACAGGGTTTCGCCATTTTGGCCAGGCTGGTCTCGAACGCTTGACATCAAGTTAGCCAGGCTGGTCTCGAACTCCTGACCTCAAGTGATCCGCCTGCCTCGGTTTCCCAAAGTGCTGGGATTACAGGCGTGAGCCACCGCGCCTGGCCTTAGGACCAGTTAAGTGACTCTCCTAAGGATTGCAGTGACTTACTCCAGATGAATTAATCAGATTAATTTAATCAAAATTAATTAGTGATGGGGACTATTGGACTGGAAGAGGTTTTTAAATGTAAAACTGGGAGCCATTTATTTGGTACTTCCCTCAAATCTCAAAAAGGTAGCAGTCAGTCGTCCTAAAAAGCAAAACCTATTAGAGAGGAATATATTAATACAGTGGTTTCAAAATGATTTGCTCTTATACCCCCAAAGGAATCCCCAAAGACTGACTGTTTTCTTACTTCCACATTTTTGGATTGACCATCACAATTTCTCATCTGACTTAAATAGTTACAAAAGAAGCAACTTCTGTTTTATCGTAAATTATCATTTTAAAATAAAAGTTATGTAACTTTTAAATGTAGCCAGTGGAATCTAAATACCAATTTAACATCTAACATCATCAATTTTTAAAACTATGTGAACAAGCTTTTAATGGAAGGAAATTGTACATCATTTCTTTTCTTCTTGAACTCATATTTCCATTCCATATTGTGAAATTGTATCCCAATATTTCTTTAGTCTTGCAAATATTGGCCAGGCTTGGTGGCCTGTAGTCCCAGCTACTCCAGCTACTCCAGAGGCCGAGGCAGGAGGATCGCTTGAGCCTAGGAGTTTGAGACCAGCCTGGGCAACGTGACGAAGCCCGTTTCTACAAAAAAACACAAAAATTAGCTGAGCATGGTGGTACACATCTGTAGTCCCAGTTACTCCAGAGACTGAGTTGGGAAGATCACCTGAACTGGGGAGGCAGAGGCTGCAGTGACTAAGATTGTGCCACTGCACTCCAGCCTGGGCAACAGAGCCAGACCCCATCCTCCTTGCCCCCACCAAAACAAGAAAGAAAATCTTTTATTGGTCGTCTACTCTACTTCTTTACATTTAAAAAGTACATACATTTAAATACAATTTTAAAATTTTCCAACAGCCGTAAAGATGAATGTGTTTAAAACATGTAGAATTTCTATACACAAACTTGTTATATATAGAAAACCCTAAAGAATTTACTACAACATTGTTAGAACTAATAAATAAGTTCATCAAGGATTCAGGACAACAGGTCATTTTCATATGAAGAAGCAATCAGCATAGTCAAGAAAGGTGGGAAAAAGTATTATGTGATGTGCCGAGCACCTGAATAATAGAATGATGTTACTTTTCTGGATTTTGTGGTATCTGTAGTATTCATCAGCTTTTTTAAATTAGTAATTTTTTAATTCACTTTTATTGTTTTCCTTCAGAAGGTGATTCAAACTGTGAAAGCTGCAAGCATCACAAAACTTGGATCTGCTTAGGCTAAAGGGGGGCTTGAGATTAGCAGAAAATAATTGCTTATATTTGGAAACATGTAAAAAGTCATTTTTAACATTTAATATATCTTATTGAAATAAAACAAGGCTTGGATTGTCAAATCAGATTGACAAGATTCAGAGCTTTTACCCAGTCACAAGAAAATAATGGCAACATCCAAAACCACTAACCCAGCTCCCCAGGGCTTACCCGAATTCCTGAGAATACATTCTGGTTTAGATCTAGCAGGTGAGGTCTCTGAGTAAACTATGCCAGTGAACACTTACACAGATGGAGCTCTTTCAGTCAGGAGCTATCTCCATTTTATACTGAAATAATTATATGTTGGAGACTGACATTTTCCACTGGGCCATTCCATGTATTAATATATCCATCAGTTCCAGGTTTATTTACCATAGGCCATCTAGACAGACCAGGTGTACCCTGCTTTAAAAAGCATTTCATAGACAAGGACTCCCCATTCTCTTTCCACCAGAATATACCTTGCATGTTTACAAGGAGATTTGACTTGGTCATTTCCACTTGGCCATCTCAGGATAGGAATAATTCGCTAAAGACCAGCTGGTATCACTTAACTTCTGACCTATCGCCCTTGTCTTTTTTTCTCACCAGATCCTTCTAAAAAAATAATTCTCTAACAATAGTGAATAATTGTGGCTGAGGTCTTTAAATGAAAATTACCATCATACCATTATAGAAGAGAACAATATTTTGAAATCTTGGCACTGTTGGGGCTTTTACCCCTGGGATATGCACCAGAGGAAGATTTAGGGAGCCGAGGGCTGTGTATTTCTTGCGTAAAGTGGGAGAAGTTTTAATGTGAAAAGAGGAGTAGGAAAAAAGATAGTAGGAAATAGCACATAAGAAATTAAGATCTGGATATTGATTATCTTATATCCCTGTAAATTTTCTGCATACCTCCAGGGGTATGCATACCCCGGTCAAATATTTTTACATCACATACTTGCAGTGGAGAGTGTGGAACCACTAGTTCTAGAATCCAAGAGCCCGAGTTTGAAGCCACCTTCATCTCACAGTTGTTGCCACTTAAACACTCTGAGCCTGTTTTCTCACCTGTAACACGGGGATGTGATAATAGAATCTGCCTCATAGGGTGGTTACCTAAACTAACTGAAGTAACTCATTTAAAGTTGGCACTCAAGCCAGGTGCAGCAACTCACACCTGTAATCCCAGTACTTTAGGAGGCTGAGGCAGAAGGATCACTTGAGATCAGGAGTTCAAGACCACCCTGGGCAACAAAGCAAGACCTCATCTCTAATTTTGAAAAAATAAAAAAAAAGTTTGCACTCAATAAATATTGGTAGTAATATATGAATTTCTTCTCTTCTTGCTGATATTTTTTAATGATTAGCAAAGAGCAATTTGGTTCTAAGCAAATCTGAATGTTTTTTAAAGTCTAATTGTCTTCCTTAAGATTGATGAAGTTGTTTTCTCTTGGCATAGAATTTATCTCACTGTACAAAAAATGGTAATATGAATACTATTATAACCCTGTCACAGTACCATTAATAAAACGGTAGTATATACATACCATTATTTTGGTATCATAAATGTTCTCAGAAGAAAAATCTACTTGTTAATGGACTTTAGGAATGATATAT